TCTCCGGTGAATCCGCCCAGGAGCGCAGAGGGGCAGGCTCAGGCGGGATTCGGCCTTGTCGCCTTGGCCAGACCCTAACTTGGGCTCTTCGGTTCCACCTTCCGAGTTGCCTTTTGCTTTTGTTCCAGACCTCACCTCTTTCTGCTGGGAAGCCCTTGCTTGCAAAGCTGGTCACGAGCTGCTCGCCAGCGGGAGCGGACAGAAAGCGTTAGCACATCCCTACATCCTTGAAATTGCGAGCTGAGTACCATCCCGATGCAGGCTGTCTTCTGAAGGAAGCCTCCGACCTGCGCCTGCGGTCAGCCGTTAAATTAAAAGCTCCCGTCAGGTTGTGGGAGCTGCTTGGGCTGCACGTGGTTAATGCTCAGTGATCATTACTCGAAGGGCTCACAGCTCCCTCCCTCCTTCCTCCTGTCCTGGCTGTGGAGTTGCGGAATCTGCCTTACACCCACTGAAGCGGTCAAGTGCCGTAGCACGGGGCCCTTTTCGTGCTGATTTTGCGTCTAAACGCGGCGTGAACATGTAAGAACCAGTTATTACAGACGAGAGAACAGTCTCTCGTCTGTAATAACTTCCCTGTTGCTCTACCTGAAATAATAGAAAGGAGAGGGAGAAGCGTAAGTTTGCAGCTGTGCAGTAATTTCTGTCAATGCTTTGCTTTTTCAGGTGGAATTACTTTTTCTTGTATGATGGTTCAAAAGTTAAGGAAGAAGGAGATCCTACAAGTGCCGGGATCTGTTATTTTTATCCTTCTCAGGTAACGTCCGCTTTTATTTTAGCGCCTGTAAAGGAGTGCCTGTGTTGTGAGTCAGTGCTGATAATTCTGCTTCAGGAATGGAAGGAATTCTGCTTCCAGGCGGAGCTTTGGATTAATTCTGATTTAGTATTCACAAATGTGTTAAGAACGCTCACGCAACTGGAACCAGCCGGGGTGGTGCTGCACGGGGCTCCGTGCACAGACGTCCTCGGGCTCCTGAGGCTGGGCACGGCGCTGTTGCACCCTGCTCCCTCGCCGCGGATTCTGGTCAGTGGAGTCCTCCGGCAGAGCCCAGGTCTGTTCCGGTGACGTGAATAAATACACGCGAGGGATGAAAGTGCCCCTAAATAAGCCCTAGGCCCTTGCGCTGCATGAAAAAAAGCAGTCCAGTTATTTTTTCCTCAGAAATTCGCCTGTGCTGCTGCATTTGATTTATAATTGAATTGAACTTATAATTCATTTTTATTTATACCTGCATACAGTAGTGACTTTTTTTTTTTTTCCAAGTCCTTTTAAAAGAAAAAAAAACAACAACCAAGCCTTTCTTTCCCGCCTTCCTCGCCAGACTCTCCCTGACCAGCAGGAACTGCTGTGCGGACAGATTGCCGGAGTGGTGCGCTGCATGACTGAGATTTCTGGAGTTCCTCCAAGCCTCATTCGCCTGAGGAAGCTCAAGTTTGCAGTTGTAGTGGCTGGAGACTATCTGTGGGTGAGCCCAAGAGATCTGGAGGCAGTCACAGAGCTGCAGCTGTGAGAGAGCCCGAACTCCTCCACCAAACAAAGAGGGCATTTTTTTTCTTTCCCGCGGTATGGGCTGCGCACAGGCCGGGGGAGAGCTAGGGTGGGAGCTTGCAGTGCACAGCTTTTCACTGCAACGTAACTTTGATTTTGTTTGCCGCAGCCTACAAGCGTGTGTCGTGGCAGTCACTTCAGCGGTTCTGTAAAAAGCTCCGCGTGCCCTGTCCGTGTGTCCGTACCTGACGTGTTTTCTTTAAAACGTGCCTGGCAGCGGCTGTAGGGCACGGAGCTCTGCATCGTTGCATCTGGCTGTGGGTTACTGGTGATGACTAGGAACGGGATTCTGGGTGCTGTAGTTTGCGATGAGGACTCGCTCTCCCTGTTTGGTAGTCTGACTGTTCTTTCCTTCTAACCCCCGGTATTCCCTGCTGCAGAGCTCTGTCAGTGCCAACAGATGTTCAGTACATAAAGAACAGCGTGCGGCAGTCGTGACAAAAATGCCCCAAACCGTGCCCTGGCACCTGGGCCAGGACTGGTCAGGCCCAGTTAATTGGCAGTGCTGTTCCAGCTCACTGGGCTTGCTCTGAGGCAGAAGGCCTCGCGCTTCTCTCGGCAACTCAAAAATGAAATGAAGCATCTTCATCGCTGTAGAGAACAAGTTAATTTGAGTATTTTTAAGTACTTGGTTTCAGGAAAATGTTCTTAGCTATCAGAGCACCGAGCAAGGTCATCTAACGTGGGAAGGGCGTGTGTCTAAAACGCTGGATTTCTGATATCATTTATTTATCCTCTCTGTGCCAGGACTCTTCTGTGGGTATTTTTGAATTTCCTTTTCATCTGACTTGTGAATCTGGGGGTTGTTTGCCTGCCACAGAGCTGCTCGCTCGCCTTTGATGCCATTTGGAAGCGATAAGAGCTGTTCTCACCCGCTGTGGCTGGGTTTTCGTCAGTAAACATTCTTCATTCATGGCTTTCTGTATTGAAGGTTCTGGGCTGTGCTGTTGAGCTCCCTGAATTCAGCTGCAGGCGGTTTCTGGAGCAGCTGATCAGCCTCTTCACCTTCTACAACGGACCCGTGCACCGTGCGTACATGGTAATTAAAGATCAGCAGCTGTGTTTCTGCCTAGGAAGAGATCTTAAATGCTTCCCATATGGCCGAGCTCTGCCCAGGCTCACACGTGCTGACGTGTTCCCTTACACTGCCCTCCTGCTGGCGAGGGTCAGAGCAAGCTCACGTACCAAAGAATCGGGACCCGGGAAAGCCTATGGGCCCATCCTCCTTACTGCGCCGAGGTAGTGTGGGTGTCTGCTAGAAGTTTTGTAGATGTTGAGTCCAAAGCAGTCTCCCCTCAATACCATCTTCTTCCTTATCCTCACAAGATCTGTCCCTGGCAGGCGCTGTCCCCAGTTGATCGCATCTAACCATCCTGAATGCATTAGGGCCTGTGCAGCGACAGCCATCTGGATTTTTGTTGTCCGCAGGCATTTCCTCAGGAGGAACTGAGTAGGCAGTGGGACAGATACATTGAGCATATACAAAGAAACACCAGTGACCTTCACAAGATTTTCAACTCTCTCTGGAATCTGGACAAAACCAAGGTAAAATCCTGGCCTCTGCAGTGTCTGGCTCTAGAGCTGCCTTAGTGCCGATGCTTCTGTGTTTATTTGCTGCTTTGCGCGTTTCCTAGGATTCTCTGGCCTAACTTCTCGTGGTTCTCCTTGCCTAGGTGGACCCCCTGCTTTTACTGAAAGCAGCTCTCATCTTGCAAACTTGCCAGCGGTCTCCCCATGTCTTGGCAGGCTGCATTCTCTACAAAGGCTTGTGAGTAACCAGGCGTTACCCAAAGGGGTAACCTGCCCGTTAAATCCGCCCCTTCCCAGGGCTGTGATCCCGGAGAGCATCCAGGGAGCAGAGCCAGGGCACGAGCTGTACCCACAGGGCTGCTGTTTGTTGGTGATAGGGACATTAATGCTTCTGGCAAGGTAATCCCTGTCTGCTGGTGCATTTCAAAGAGGGTGAATGGTTATTCCCGTGTATCAGTAGGAGCAACGGAAGCATGAAGGAATTAAAGGATTGGGTTTTAGTGGTAATCCGCTGTCTTTGACATTC